GTCATAGAACTGGCAAGCCCAGTTGTCGTACCATTGCCCTCACTTTGCTGAACGCTTGTCTTCGGGGTATTAGCTCTGTGGGTGCTCTGGAATCCATAAACAAACATCTCTTTGTGGCAGGTTCAGTGCAGAGCCCGTAGACAGACTGCACAGAATCCCAGAACACCAATGGCCTTTACTTGTCCAAGAAACATAAACAAAGATAATAAATGACTTATACATGCCTCTGATTTAATATCCTCATCAATTTAGAGAGTTTACTGGGCCAGGTATGTCCCCTGGGTTATTGTATTTGCCCTGTAGCTAGACCCGTGTTTTCTAGACCATGAAGTCTTTCAGGATCAGTGTGCTTTCTCTGACTATCACTGCTCCAGCAACTCCACTGGATGACCCCACTGGCTTTCTTATGCAAGCCTAGCTATCATTTCCTTCTTTTGCATAAAGTGTGTGTTTTGCCTTCGAGTTTTTTGGTTCCTGCCCTTTCAATCATCAGCTTTTTCCCTTCTGCTCGTTCTGCTTTGGAAATTGGCAAGTTTACTGTAGAGAACTGATTTGCCCCCTTACCATCTGCTTAGTTTGTCCACTGTATTGCCCATGTAGACCTACTTGGTTCCACATAATTTAAAAAGACAATTTAGAGGAGACTGCATAGCCTTAACAAAATCATGGAATAGAAAAGTTATCTTTCCTACATTAGCATAGGCTTACTCTTTTTTCCTAATATTATCCCAGAAGGTAACACAAGCGTCAGGTTGCTGACTTGTGTCATTTGAAATTACACTACTTCAGTGCTGCACTGGCCAGGATCGTTATCTGCCTTTTTTTTTTTTTTTTTTTTTTTTGTTGGTAGAAACATCATTCTAACTCTTTAAACTCTTGTAGTTTTAGAATAGGGAGATAGCAGCATGTAGCTGCTTTGTTTTGCTGTTTACCAGAGTGCAACCTTCCACATCCTGCTCCAAAAACAAAGCTTTATTTGAAAAGCATTAAGGTTGGAAGCGTGATGCTGCCCGATACAAGTCCTGAAAGCAAAGGAAATGCCAAGTTTTGATATTCTTTCTAAACCAGAACCAAATACATTTATGGTTATATTTTCACTAGCAATGAAGGAATCGGTAGTTTCAAAAACATTTCCTCCTGCATCTAAAAGGCGTTCTATAAGCTATATTTATGCCTCTCTCTAAGACACTGCAATGCAATAGCACCATCAGAAATACTAGCTAGTGCGCAGTGTTGGCAAGTATGTACTGCTTCGTGTGATATGGCTGTCGTCCCTTACCATTCCCTCTCATCTGCTTTCATGGTGTTTCTAGGATTTCTTGCTGAAAAAAGAATACAAAGCCCTGGAGTATAATCTAACAACCACTGGGGTTGAGCTGGACAGAGTAACAGCTTTTTGGGATGAGGTTAGTACTTTTACCCGAACTAAATTAAAACACAGAGTGTATCTTTTTTACTGATATTTGCCTTGGTGTACTCTAAAAACAGCAGCCCACACTCCTTCATTTTAACTGGCTTCAGCTATCGGCAGGCAAGAAATATATGGCAAGTAATTAATGCATGACATCAAATTGTTCACGGTTGAGAAACTTTGGAAGAGACCTTTTAATAAGTGTTAAGGCCTGCAATAAGCAGTTATTTCTGATTTAGCCAGCCTGAAAACAGAATCAGGCTGTGGCACGTATAAACATTGGAAAGCAGTTCTATAATAGGCAAATTCTGTTTGTGTCCACGAATTTAGGAGCAAATACAATATATGCGTTAAAAATACATATATATTTCAGATTATAATAAATATGTTATAGATAGGAAAAGTAACATCAGAAAAGCAAGTTCATATGTTTTCATAAGTCCACAGTATGAGATATATATGTCTGCATATGCATGCTTTATTTATTTTTTATGTACATACAAATACACATCTGTGTATGTTGCAGGGAATTGGAGAGCTGTTTGTAAAAGCAAACCAGGAAAACAACAACAGCAAAGCTCCTAGCGCTGACAACAATCTCTTCTTCAGTAATTTTCCCCTTCATGCGTCTCCTGTTCTTCAGGATATAAATTTCAAGATTGAGAAGGGACAGTTATTAGCTGTTTCTGGATCTACTGGAGCAGGCAAGGTATTTCTATGTCTGTTGTTTCAATAAAAATCATAATAATTTTAAGGAATAATATTGTGTTGTTATCTGTATTATTACCTGTATTGTTACTGTATTCTTGCTATCCTGTGCTTGCAGTAAAAATGATGGCTGCAGGAAAAAATATGAATAAACTGTAAGTTTCAATAAAATGGCCAATAGTTATTTGAAGTTTTACTCTCTGGCTAATATGAGAAAGAGTTTGCTGGATATTTTTTGTAGGCAAAAGGATACAGACTTAATAAGGAAATAGCAATTTAAATTATGAAACTATTTTTCCATAGGACTTAAAAGGAGATTTGCAGGAATATTGCAGACTGAAACCTAAAGTTATTCTCATGGTGAGAATCTCCCTGCCTTTAAAACAATAAACTGGAGAACACAGCATAGATATCCAGCTGGCTCAGTGTGCTAGGAAGCAGACAGGTTTTTTTTCCTGCCTTGCTAAAATTTTAAGGAAAAATTGGAACGCAAGATGGTCAGTAACCTGACAAGCCTGACATGGATTAGCCAGGTAACTAAGACGCCTGCCCTGGGCGTGTGATATACCTGGTCACTTGTGCTCCGGTTCCTACAGTTCCTCGCTCAGACAGGCTCCCCGAGTCCCATGTGAAAGCCTGGGAAGGTGCTGCTGAAACTGATGGTTCTGTGAGAAAAGTTACAGTTTAAATTAATCATCATTTTAGAACCCCCAAATGTTATCAATACATTTAGTTTGCAGATAAGGCATCCAATTAACCTTATTAATATAAAATTAGTTGAACTGTGATACACTTATTCACTTTGAACAGCAAGTAATTAGATGAGCTTTTCATCTTGACTGGGTTTTCTGAGGAGATGTGAAAGTCAAAACAAGCATTCATTACACGTTTGGCAACTTTTCCTGTTTAACAAATAATTGGTGAACATGTTCTGATTTCTTTTACTTGCATTGGGTAAAATCTTTGGTCTGTTGGAGTCAATGGCAAAGGATCCATCAACTTCAATATGATCAAGGCTTCTATGTTAGTTTTCAGTAATGATACCACTAGGAAAGAGCAAGGGACTCAGGATATGCGGTTGTGCTTAAGCTGATATGTTGAGGTGCATTTTACTGTGACACTTCTGAATTAACAGAACAGTTTTCCTATGCTGCTGGTAATCTCAGATGGCTATTGCTAAAGCTGATACTTATAATACAAAAAAGTCAACTAAAAAGCACTGAAGGACATATGTATATCATCTCCTTTACTCAGCTACTTAGGAAACTGAAGAAAATTCAGATCACACTAAGTATATACATACAACAAATTTGCGCTTTTCAAGGCAATAAAGTTAAAAGGCTTATAATGTTATCTGAAAGATTTACAAAAAATAAGGTTTACACCCCTGCAAAAGTTTCTCCTTTCCTTACACCCTCTTAATTTAAGCTTTCCTTCATGTTGCTTAAGGCTGTTACTGTATATTCCAGGAATTGTCAGGCCTATGAAACAGACTGCACACTTATTTTATCTGTAACAGGTATGAAGCCTGACATCAGGTCTTTAATACTGCTTCAATATTACATAGGGTTGGGGTTGGGGTTCTTTTTTCCATTTATGTTGTATGGCACAAGATACAGATGTATCATGTATAAACATTACAGATGTTTAACATCCAGTGTGCAAAACATACTAAGCATCTGTCCTTTGCAAGATCAGAAACTTCTTACTCAGCATTTTTGAAAATTCAGATTCTGGTATAATGAAAAGAATCTTGTGAGACTCCCCCCACATATTGTATAACTTGTCAAAGGATCTCCGGGCTTGACAGCATGAAACTGTGACTTAGACAGATTTTTAGATCTTTGGCTGTTACGTTCCAGCTTTGGTGACTGTTTATTAGTGATAAGAACACCACTGGAATGGCTCTGTAGCATATTTTTCCTTGTATTTCTCAATTCTATTCTTTGATCTAGTAGCCAGTGATGTGTGACAAGGTTACTACAAGCTACTGATTAACTTTGAAATTATAACATGTCAGTACTGAAATTGCAATCAATTCTTTTATGAAGGGAAATAGTAAATATACTTAGGTCATGTATTCACGTAAATGAGTTAACAGTTACAGAGGAAAATTCAGATCACACTGAGCAGTTTGTGAATCATTGTATACACATACACAAAAAAATTGCATTTTTCAAGGCACTGCAGATAAAAGGCTTGTGAACACTAGCAAAATTGTAAACATGAATTGTGTTGCACAAAGAGCAAACAAGTGTCATTGATAATGTTAAAAATCAAATAACATTCTCTATAAATACTAATACCTTATGTCTGTGTCTCTCAGATACTCGCATTTTTATCTTGTAAAATTACTGGAAGTTTAATTAAAAATACATACTTTTGCAGCAGCATGCCTGTTTTACAAGATATCTTACACAATTTTTATCATTCATTGAATGAAGTTTTCCTCATTTCAGAGGCCTTTCAGAACCATACGTATCATGAAAATCTCCACTAATTGCAGCTTGCACTAGATCAGTACTTACAGGGACACTCTTTACAAGACAAATGTACCATTTAAGTCACTTAGCAGAGTGACTCATTTTGTTTAGCACTTCTTATGGTTGTACAGATCTCTGATATATTAACCAAGTGTTAATGATTTTTCAGACTTCTCTTCTGATGTTGATAATGGGAGAACTGGAGCCTTCGCAGGGTAAAATTAAACACAGTGGAAGGATATCCTTTTCACCGCAAGTCTCCTGGATCATGCCTGGAACAATAAAAGAAAACATAATTTTTGGTGTATCCTATGATGAATACCGATACAAGAGTGTCATCAAAGCCTGCCAACTAGAAGAGGTCAGTCATCCAGGACTCTTAAGACCTGTGACCCAACCCAAGTGCAAAACCCCAAAGAATAAGTCAGGGATGGGAGCTTTGAGTAAACAAGACATTTCTGAGATTTAAGAAACTCAGCCTGGCATCCCAATTTTGTGGAATTGCAAGTCAGCCTGTTGCCAGCTCCTTGGGAGATACACTGATGGTGCTGGTTCTGGTAATTTATGCAACAGGAGCTAAATAAGCTGGCTGAAATATTATAAGGTGTCTGCTTTCTCAGTCTTCCTTGCAAATTAAAAACCTGGTTAAACATATTAATGTTAAAGAAATGATGTAAAAAGTATTGTTCCTACAAAAATTTTTTCATGTTTCTTCCCCATAAAGAAGCTTTTCCTTACAGTCTTGGAAACCTGTTTTCCTCCTTTTGCCCTTCAGAAATGGCTGCAGGGATAATTAGAACGCTGCGCCAGAAACTGAGTTATTTAGAGGAAAATCTTGACTGAAGTTGGATTTTACTGTGTGCACATTGAAAATTCTCACACTGGAAATTATTGCAGGATCGATCTTTATGTGACATGCAGCCCACAATTAGTACAATGACGTGGAAATGTCCTTGTGTGTGTTTGATGTTGCCAGAGGGTAGTGTAGGAAAAGATACCTTTTCACATTGCAAGGTACAAAAGGAGCCAGCATTTCAGACCTTTCCACCTTTATTGCTGTGCCTTAAGATCAGGCATTTTGTCTGTAACATGTCAATGAAAACAATAAATATTTAACTGTGCTGAATAGGATCTGTCTTTAGGCCACACAGTGAAACATATTTTCCTTCAGCGCCAGTCAAGCAAGAAAACAATAGCTAGTCTGTTTAAAACTAAGATGAGGTTACTGTGCTTTATCTCAGAGCAGGGTATAGTTAAGCGATAAAGTAATCTTTTCTTATATGTTTATGGCTATTTCAGCTTGTGTTTGGATTGTGGTTTGCTGGAAATCTTCTTTGAAAGCTTCTGAAGGCAGGAGAATTAACAACTTCTGTGTCAGGCTTTCTGAAGAGAGTAGTCCTTAACCCCAGTCTTAAAAGTTGTAGTTAACGCCAAAGCTCCAGGAAACAGCTGGCTTCAGCACTTCGAAGCTGTCCTTCCCCAAAGAGGCTTCCCAGCCCAGGGTCTTCCTAGAGCAGAAGGTGGTTAATGATGGCTCGGTGTCTTGGTGTTGGTGGGACGGGTCACTGTCTCAGTGTCAGTGGGATGGCTCGGTGTCTTGGTGTTGGTGGGACGGGTCACTGTCTCAGTGTCAGTGGGATGGCTCGGTGTCTTGGTGTTGGTGGGACGGGTCACTGTCTCAGTGTCAGTGGGATGGCTCGGTGTCTTGGTGTTGGTGGGACAGCTCACTGTCTCAGTGTCAGTGGGACAGCTCAGTGTCTTGGTGTCGGTGGGGACGGCTCAGTCCCTTGGTGCCAGTGGGACGGCTTGGTGTTTTGGTGTTGGTGGGACGGCTTGGTGTTTTGGTGTTGGTGGGACGGCTTGGTGTCTCGGTAGGCTGCAGCTCCTTTGTTCTCCGCACAGGCTCAATCAAGCCAGCTTTGATCTGTGTTGGTGCAGCTCTGTGCAGAATGATACGCTTCACCTCATAGCAGGGCTCATTATTTGAGATCAAGTTTGATACTTATAAGGATATTTTCTTCTGGACTGAAGCTGAATAAATTGGGCTGGCCTGAAGAGAAGGCTGAATGCTATGGAAGGAAGCCAAATGCATTACCTTATTGCTATTATTATGCTTTCTAGTCTCGTTAGCTTTCACATCTTAGGTACCGAACAGGACTTAGTATGGCAGATTGAAGGATGGATTTCAAATATGAATTCCCTGTTTATTCCCCAGTGTGACCTTTTAGGGGTTTATTACGACAAAGGTTAGTGCTTTGTTGGATTGGAGTTGTGTGTGTTCTCATTCTTCAGAAAGGAGAGGTACCAGAGGGTTTTTGCCTAAGGGAGTTCACTTTGCTCCCTTCTCTGCAACTTTCCTAGGTAGTTATATAGTCTGCCTGAATATAGGTCTGTTCCTGAGTCTAGTTCTTATATGGGCTTTTCAAGGTGAACCAAGGATTGGTGATAAAAGAGAGTTTATTTCCTTATTGCCCATATGCTGGAAGTCAGTTAACATACAGCTCTTAACAGTGGCTAAGTGAGATTTACTTCCAAGCTTCATGCTCACAAAAACTTTTTTTGGGAATGCAAAGTCATCTTCTTTGACCCAGTGGGCAAATAGATGTGTTACTACCTCAAAAAGTAACATACCTGTGAAACACCCCCTTTGCTTTGCCATCTCCACCATCACCCTATAGAGGAAGCGTACTGAAGATCTAGTCCAATTCCTAAATTTGGTGTCTTTTCCCCTTTGTCTTCATTAGTGCCAATAAAATACTACAGGTTACTCTATGTGGGTCACATCATACCGTTTACATAGGTTTGGGGCTTCCTGACACACTGTGAATAGCCTGTTCTTGTCCATCAGCAGAACAGGACAATGAAGCTGGGTGACTTCATATAAGGTGCTCTGCACTTTGTTTTAGGTCTATGGAGATATGCAAATGATATTAAGCAAGTGTAACTTAAATAATTTGGGGTGCATGAGAATTTTCAGAAAAGTCAGCACTACATTTTTCTGCCTGACTTTTTGGATTGGTACATAGTTGATTTGCTGAGGAGTTATCACAGCCTCTTTAGAGTTGCTAAGTACTTGAGGTAAATTTATCTCAAAGTAATTATGAAAGATGGAAAGTGCAAGTAAATATTTCACAGAGCTTTCCGTATTTTTAGGTGTCCAAGAATAAAATTTTCCCTATATAAAAAAATCAGATCTTTATTTAGAGTTTAGTATGTGCTATGTGTTAGATTTTTATTCTGTAAAGTCCTAAAGAATGGCAAATCTGGTTATATTAACCATTACCTAAAAAATAACTGGGCTTTGGTAGGTTTTTCTTGGATGGAGAAGGATTTTTGATGTTTTTCTAGAAGATATTCATTCATTTCATTCAAAACTTTTACATTTTGTTCTATTTGTGTATGGAACCATCAAAATGAAGGTTAAAAAGATGGTTTCTTCTCTAATGAATTTTGAAAATTCACAATTAACATTACTGGAAAGCAATGAAACTATGAGTAACAAAAGGATTTTATTTTATTTCTTTTATTTCTTGTATGAGCTCACATAAGTTTATAGCAATTTAGAACACTAAAATGGGACATTTTTAGTCCAAAGAGTTCAGATAGCTACATGTTGTACTTCCTTGACTTGTATACTCAGCTTAAGAGATTTCTGCCCTCAGCTTCTTGTTGCCTTGCTGCAATTCACCTACCCTCCAGTTGTGCCAGTACACCTGTTCATGATGTACAGTGAAACAGAAGATGAATATTAAAAAGTATTATGATATATTGGAGAACTGCATCCCTCATAAATACTCTGCCAGGATAGCTTAACAAAGTGTGTTTGTGTAGTGCACAATACATTAGGATCTCAGTCTGTGCCTGGGTTTACAAGCTCAATTAGTGTGTACATGTCTCTCAAGTATCCTTTTTTCTCATGGCTAACATAACTGTTGTCTCACCCAACACCCATCAGTCACATAGGTGCATGGCTGATGAATGGTCAGATGCAGTGAATCCTGTCATACGGTAGATGCTGTTTTGTGAGACCACGTGTGGGAAGCATGTGTTTTAATGGTGCTCCTTTGAGTGTAGTCCCACTTGATGGCACACGTGACGGCAGCATAGTGTCATAGGCTTCATTCATGGTCCTTGGTCCTCACAGCTCTGCTCTGTAGCCTTCTCTGGCATGTGGGGTTACCAAGGGCAAGGGACACCACAGCACAACCCTGTATGAGATCTCAGTTGTTGAAAGGATGCACTATGAAAGACAGTTGTGTGTCGAGGACTCAGTGAGGGAATTTTGCCAGGCCTAAGTACCACTGCTTGCCATAATTTCAGGATCACACTGTATAGATATATAATACTGAAGAAGCATGAGAAAGGTTCTCAAATGCATCTCTATGTGCATCAGTAAAAACATGCCTAAGGTACTTTTTAAACTTCTGTTCGTACAGTTTATAAGCGTATTTTTATGGTAGTGTAGCCTGCTTTATATGTGTAAAATGATTCAGGGCTTGATTATAATTACATTTCTTGATTATATTTTTCCTTTGAGGGTAGGTAGGGCATCAGGGGAGGTAAAATCATGTTTTATAATATAGTTCTAATTACTGGAGTTTGGAAATGGGAGAGGTTAAGAGGACAGAAGTGGAAGGTGATAGAACAACAGAAAGACTGCTTTGGAGTTGAGATGAAGGGGCTGTAATTAAGAGCTACCTTAGTGTTCTTGATATCCTATAGAAACAGCCTTACTGGCAAAAAATATTTCTGAAAGCCCAGCACAAACTAAATATGGCTGCAGTGAGACGTAAGTGGTGCGTAGACATTGCCCTTATTCTTGTGTGATGCTGAACTCAAGGGAATGCCAGTACATTTAAATTAAATGATACATTCTGTGAAACATCACAGTAAAAAAAGTTTTACAAAAAGGCATAGGAGAAGGGCTGCTTATTCTTTCTCCACTGCTGCCTTCTTCTTTTTTCCTCTCATCAAGAAATAGTGAACATTTTAGCAAACAAGCAGGGTGTGTACCTAATTTAACACATCTTCTAAAATGAATGTCCCAGTTCGCAAATATGGAAGTGAAGGCTTTCAACTTCTAGATCAAACCATTCCAGCATAGATCCATAGTTGTTACTGTTTGACCTTTATTCAAAAACTTTTTTGAAATAAATTGTTTGAATGGGTTTAATTTTGAGTGTGCAGGAGTTATCACAAGTCTATTACCTTTAAAATTTGAGATTGGCATGCTATAGAGAAGCCAAGATGTAATTAGTACGGACTCTGAACTCATTTTCTAAAAACAGTCCCTTAGACAAGCTTAAAGGTACTTGGAAAGTAAGATAAGATGAATTGGTGCTGCCTTGGCTTATGTTACCT